GTGTGCAGCGAGTACACAGGTTTACACATGGAGGTGGTGGCCTTGCACAAGTGTATGCCGGCCACTAAGTATCTTGGTCATTGCAGGTGGCTTATAGAGTAAATGAGAGGGAAATATATAAATGTGTCTATCTGTCTGCCTCTATCTATCTGTCTGTCTGTCATTAGCCCTGTAGTCAGTGTGTCAGCTTATGAAATGTCTTGGCAACGCTTTGCGGTGTCATAGATATGTAGGAGGTGACGTGGAGCAAGGTAGGTGATGGCCTGGGGTCTGGAGCCCTCCTGTTTCTGGCTCTGGGGCCAGGCCATGGTGACCTCTCAGAGGCACTGATGACTTCTCTTCCAAAAGGGAGTGCTGCCAAATTCAATTCTAGCAGTAACATTCTGTGTTCAAGGAAATGCTTCCAGAGACTGCCATGTGGTTTGGCACCTGACCCCTTCCCTGTTGAAAACTAGCAGTGGGGGAAATGCTAAAAGAATAAGGATCATTTTAATAATCCACATTAAAACAGTTACACAGTAATAAAGTAGACCTTGACTCACAGCTCAGGTAGCCCTCATTTCAGTGCTCAGCCCCCTCCTGCCTACCCATGTTTGCACTCCATGACCCAAGAAAAATGAAAAGTTCTGTATTATAAGCCCTGTATTCCCCTATGCTTTGTTTGAAATCATTGAATGTTCTGTTCAAATTGAAAATAGTGAACTAAGCCCCAATATCTACGGCCCTCTACCCGCCCAGCTTTCGTCATTATGACGAGAGGAATACACAGACTTAGGCAGGGGCGGGGTCTGTCATGGAAGGAGCCGTCCAGAGGCCAGAAACACTGCATAGATCATAGAGGTTATACTGCAGATGGGTCCAGAGTTTCAAAGTCACCACCCGGGACAGGAGCTGACGCCCTAAAGAGGCAGAAGAGCTCCCCTGCTATTACCCCCTTTCCTTTCCCCACCAGCTGAGTCTCTTTAACCTTAATACTTCCTTGAGGGGAAGGAAGGGGAGGGCCATTTCTCTGGTGGTTCTCAACCTCAACAGGACATTGGAAGGACCTGAGAAACAAAAAGTACTGATGCCAGAGCTTCTGATTTCATTGGTTTGGGGTTCAACCTGGACAATGGGCTGTTTACTGTGCCACCAAGTTGAGATCCTCCCACTGCCATAGGAAGGCAACAGGAAGCCGCCTTGGTACAACCCAAGGAACTTCACTGCTAAAGGCTCCTTAGAGTGCCCTGTTCCTCAGAGAAACAGGCGCTACTCCGTGAATTTCAAGCTGTCTAAACAAACATAATAAAATCCTTCTCACAGCAGGAAACTCCACTGCCCCAACACTTCCCTTCCTCCTCCCACAATGCTGTCACCTCTCTACCCCTCCCAACGACAAAGGGGCATCTCAGTGGGTCAGCCACAGAAATACTCGACTTTACCTTCTCTCTTTACTTGAACCCAAAAGACTTGGTGGGGAAAGAACATAATCTCTAGCAGAACTTGTTTCAATTCTCACTTAAAGTCTAGAGGAAGGAAAATGTCTTATAATAGAAAAAATGTAAAGCATTAAATAGGATGCCAGAAGTCACTTATTAAAAAAAAAAAAAACTCCTAAAATTATTCTTATTAATACTCGAAAAAAGTATGAACCAGTCAAAATTGAAGTGAGATTTTTGTGAGTTAAACATGTCACATTAATACTGAAATATACCTAGTTTAAATGACTTCAAGAGAATAGCTAGGAAATTTTGAAATAGAAGAGTAGTGACTGTGAACTAGTTTTACTAGTTATTAACGTTTATTTTATTTATTTTTGAGACGGAGTCTCGCTCTGTCACCCAGGCTGGAGTGTAGTGGCGTGATCTTGGCTCACTGAAATTTCTGCCTCCCAGGTTCAAGTGATCCTCCCTCCTCAGCCTCTTGAGTAGCTGGAATTACAGATATATGCTACCATGCTCGGCTAATTTTTGTATTTTTGGAAACAGAGTTTCACCATGTTGGCCAGGCTGATCTCAAACTCCTGGCCTCAAGTGAACTGCCCAACTTGGCCTCCCAAAGTGCTAGGATTAAAGGTGTGAGCCACCACACCCAGCCTATTAACATTTATTATAAAGTTAAAATATTTAAAACTATGTGATACTGTTATCAAAATGAGTCAGTGGGACAAAATAGAAAATTGAAAAATAGATCTAAGTTCCATGATAATTAAATATATGATAAAGATAAAGCAATAGTTGAAATTACTGGAGAAAACATTGATTATTTAATTATGTTGGTATAACTGCATAAGCATTATTCAGTATAATAGATCTTTATCTCTTTTTGCCAAAATCCAAATGTATCATAAAAGTAAAAGTTGCAACATGAAAAAAATCAAAAATACTGCAATAAAATGTAGTTGAGTATATATGACTGTGGAGAATAACCATGAATGGAAAGTCTGATTAGTTTGACTGCTTATACCCTTTTAAATTTGTGCATTCATGCCAAAACAAAACAGAAACCCCATTCCCTGCCCCGCCACCCGCACAAACTTCAAAAACAAAACAAAAAAAGAACACATGAGAAGTTGGGAATAATATTGGTACCAGAAATGGCAGATAAAGGGTAAATATGTGTAGTATAAAGGGACCTCTAAAAGTTTTAAGAAAAATGGCATTAGGTTGGTGCAAAAGTAATTGCGAGTTTTGCCATTGAAAATAATGGCAAAAATGGCGATTGTTTTTGCACCAACCTAATAGAAAAATAAATTTACACTAAATATCAGATGTCTTAGAAAAAATTCGTGTTCTATAACCATGAAATCCTTTTCTTGGAATTTATCCTCAGGAATTAATTGTGCACATTTGTAGATATTTATGTATAAGCTATTTTTCAAAGAATTGTCTATAAAAGCCAAGAGGGAATAAAATAGACAACAGAAAGAAATTAAGAAAAAGAAAGAGAAATAGAGAAAAGGAGGGAGGAAGGAAGGAAAGAAGGAAGGAAGGAAAAGAAGAGATGGAAAGAAGGAAGGAAGGAAAAGAGATGAAAAGAAGGAAGGAAGAAACTTAAATGTCCAACAACGGGAGATTAGTTGATGAAATCGTGTTACATTGTGAGAGTTGACAGCTAGTCAGTAACTAAAAGTAAAATTGGAAGAAGTTTTGTGCACAAGAAGAATTTTTTTTTTCAAATTTAAGCCACATTTATTTGCATTTTTAAGACTACAGAGATACACTTTAAAACGAATACATTGTTAGTGCTGGTAGCAGGTTTGTTTTATACCAAAGATTGAGAAGGTATTTTAAGTAACTGGGTTCATATGAAATCTGTTATTTACCTTTGATGTCTAAGACAGAAATAATTTATATCGCAATTTTCAAAGACAGATGCCACCTAACCAAACATTAATTTATATATGGCCTAGAACAGATATTTGACTTTTAACGGAAAAAGATATTGAGTAATTTTATAAATTACTGAAAGGATACTGAATAATTTCATAAAAACATAAAGCATTTTAAACTCTAGTTAAAAATCTAAAGTTTTGGGAGCAACACAATGAAGAAATAAAGATACCCATTTTCACCTAGTTTCCTAAAACTGCGCAATCTTCAACCCTGTGGTAAGTCTTTCCGTTGGTGTAGTTTTTCCCTTCTTTTCAGTTTTCATTTTTTAATTCTTTCCTTAAATAGGGAACAAATGACTTTAGTGAAGGGGGCGTTGCAATAAATACGTTTTAGTTATCTTTAGTATTTGTTTGGGAATTCCCCCCTGCCCACCAGTTTCCCTTCATAGAGATTGGGTAACTTTCCTTCAGAACAAAGTAAAAAAAAAATTAAAAAAGTCAAATTCCTATGAAAAACAACAATTAAGACAACATTAAACTCTACATAATATACTACTACTAATAAAACTGCACATGATAATCATTTATCTCCTGGCTATACTAGTGGTACCTAGTCTTCTTATTAGGGAAAAGAAAAACTACTTCAGAAAAAACTATCAAAAGTGAAGAATCTTTTATGAAAACAACTATATGGAAATATATGCACAAATATATTCATGAAAACGTCTGGAATCTGAAAGCTAGCCCAGTTATCTCTGGGGTAATGGGTTATAGCTCTGACTTTTCTTTCTCCATTTTGCATACATGTATTTTTTGTTTACAATTAGCATGATTTGGTTTTGAAAAAATTTGTTTTTGATGTTATTCTGGGAACAGACGTCAGACTGGTCTGTAAATATTCTTGTCTTTGTTGTCCTGGTTTCTCTCCTCCCGGCCCTCGTCCTGCCTATACTCTAGGAAGATCTTGCTGACCACCAAGATCTTCCCTGTCCCCCTCTCCCCAGAGCTCCTGAACCATGAGTGATACACACCTCTTATTTGTTCTTTAAACGTTTCTCGGCCAGGCATTGTGGATCACACTTGTAATCCCAGCACTTTGGGAGGTCGAGGTGGGCAGATCACTTAAGGCCAGGAATTTGAGACCAGCCTGGCTAACAGTTATGGCGAAACCCTGCCTCTACTAAAAATACAAAAATTAGCAGGTGTGGTGGCACACCACTGTAGTCCCAGCTGCTTGGGAGGCTGAGGCACGAGAATTGCTTTAACCTGGGAGGCAGAGGTTGCTGTGAGCCGGGATCGCACCACTGTACTCCAGCCTGGGCAACAGAGCAAGACTCTGTCTCAAAAAATAAATAAATAATAAAAGTTTCTTGTGTCTTTTCCAGTCTCCACATAAAAACTAAGCTCCCAGAAAGAAGGAGTTGGGAGATGGACTGGGCATGGCTTCTCTGCCTGGGATTACTGAAAAGATAGACACTGGGCTCATGGGGTCAGCGCAGGCAGCTGGGAGAGCTGAGGCGGCCAGAGACCACAAAAAGTACCCATGAGCTGGGTGGAGCTGGCCTTGTCGTGGGAAAAAAGCAGGGCGTGCTGTTACGGGTCTCTCCAAGCTTTTCCACATTTCCAGTTTCCCATGGATAATTGGTCATGTTAACCTCTACTTTTTGTCTCCATGTCACGTGGACAGGTTCTAACGTTCCCATGGACCAGCCTTGCTGTCGTGGTCTCTATGACTTTGAGCCAGAAAACCAAGGAGAATTAGGATTTAAAGAAGGGGACATCATTACGTTAACCAATCAAATAGATGAAAACTGGTATGAAGGAATGATACACGGGGAATCCGGATTCTTCCCCATTAATTATGTTGAAGTGATCGTGCCTTTACCTCAGTAATTGTGTAACACAAACTGGACATAACTTTCGTAACTGAAATGAATTCACACCAATGTGCTCTCAGTGTGGTGTTCTGTGACATCCTTTGCTCGCTGACCAACTTAATGACTTTTTTACTTGTGTTCTCTTTATAATGTATTTTGTATCAATTTAATTTGTATAAATGATTTTCTTGTCCTTGGTACATGAAAATATTTTCTTTTTTGCTTCTTGTCCTAAAAGTCATTGGTTAAACGTATGTGCTTCCTGTTGCTAAAAATAAGTCTCACCCATTGCAGTTATGTCAGAAAATGGCCTATATTTCTCAACTGCAATGAAATGAACATTTGAAACTAAGAAATGCTAAATATTTTGTTTCTTGACATTCCTGATGATGTCTGGTCTTTTCTCTTCTTTGTATTTTCAGCTTACCTGTGAATAGCCCAATAAACATGACACACTGTGTTGGCAGAAGGCCTTGGTTATTTTTAACACTGAAGCGTTGAATTTTAAGCACAGTCTTTCAGCTGCAAACCCATGCCCCATGGCTGACCAAAGTGTCACAGCGCGGATGCTTAGATAACGGCTCCTGATTCAAACATGACACTCATCCTCCTTCTAGTTGGGGGATGGAAAGCCCCTCTATCTACTTTCAAGTTTATTTATAAAAGACCCCAACTCAAGCTTCTGCTGCTGCCACATTTTGGATAGGTTTTTCGAGCAAGTTGTGTTATGGATGCTTAGGAAGTAGCATGGTCAACAGTTGGTTGAGTCCCCAATAACGTGATCACCCTGACCTTGCCTATGGTATGTACATGTCACATGCTTTGGCCCACTGGAAGCCACAACAATCCTATTATGGGGAGGGCCAGCTATTATTTCTCATTTAAAAAGGAGGCTCATTGACTGGCTTACCTGGAATCAAACAACAACATACAAGCACACCTCAGAGATATTGCAGATTCTGTCCTGGCTGCTTACTGCAATAAAACGAATATTGCAATAAAACAAGTCACACAAATGTTGAGGTTTTCCCAGTGTATAGAAAAGTTGTGTTTACATATAGACACCGGGAGGGGAACAACACACACTGGGGCCTGTTGTGGGGAGAGGGGAGGAGGGAAAAATAGCTAACATATACCAGGCTTAATACCTAGGTGATGGGTTGATAAGTGCAGCAAGTCACAGTGGCACGTGTTTACCTATGTAACAAACCTGCACATCCTGCACGTGTACCCTGGAACTTTAAAAAAAATTGTGTTTACACTATGCTGTAGTCTATTAAATGTGTAGGAGCATATGTCTTAAAAAACCAGAGTACACACCACTACTGAAAAATGCTAATGACTGTCTGAGCCTTCAGCAAGTGGTAATCTTCTTGCTGCTGGAAGGTCTTGATTTTGATGGCCACTGACTGATCAGGGTGGTGTTGCTAAAGGTTGGGATGGCTGTGGCAATTTCTTAAAATAAGACAATGCTGAAGTTAGCTGCATGGGTTGACTCTTCCTTTCAAGAAAGATTTCTCTGTTGCATGCAATGTTGCTTGATAGCATTTTACACACAAATTTGAACTTTCAAAATTTGAGTCAGTTCCCTCATTTAAGTTTATGTAATAATGTAAATCCTTTGTTGCCATTATAATAATGTTCACAGCATCTTCACCAAAAGTAGATTCCATCTCAAGAAATCACTTTCTTTTCTTTTTTTTTTTTTTTGAGATGGAGTTTCGCTCTTGTTCCGCAGGCTGGAGTGCAATGGCGCGATCTCGGCTCACCGCAACCTCCGCCTCCTGGGTCCAGGCAATTCTCCTGCCTCAGCCTCCTGAGTAGCTGGGACTACAGGCACGCGCCACCATGCCCAGCTAATGTTTTGTATTTTTAGTAGAGATGGGGTTTCACCATGTTGACCAGGATGGTCTCGATCTCTTGACCTCGTGATCCACCCACCTCGGCCTCCCAAAGTGCTGGGATTACAGGCGTGAGCCACCGCGCCCAGCCGAAATCACTTTCTTTGCTTATCTGTAAGAAGCAATTCCTCATCTATTTAAGCTTTTTTATGAGATTGCAGGAATTTAGTCACATCTTCAGACTCCACTTCTAATTCCAGTCCTCCTGTTATTTCCACCACATCTGCAATTACTTCCTCCACTGAAGTCTTAAACCCCCTCAAAGTCATCCCAACAGGGTGGAAATCAACTTCTTCTAAACTCCGGTTAATGTTGATAATTTTGACCTCCTCACATGAATCACAAATGTTCTTAAAGGCATCAAAGTGAGTCCTTTCCAGAAAGTTTTCACTTGACTTTGCCCAGATCCATCAACAAAATCACCTGCCTTGGCCTCCCAAAGTTCAGGGATTACAGGCATGAGCCACTGCATCAAAATATATCCCTGACTTTTTAGATGTCAAAACAATTTCTAAAATTAAAATAGCTGTATTTTTCTAATTGTAAAAGTAATACAGGCATATTGCAGAAAAAAATTCAGAATACGTGTAAAATCATAAGAAGAAAGTGAAAATCACCTTTAACCCCACAACCTCAAAATAATTACTATTATCAACATTTTCATTATATTCTTCCGGTTTTGTTCTTGTATAATTTTATCCATTTTATATATTTATATATATATTCATCCACACAAATGAGAGTTCCATATTATGATTTTATCTTTCTACGTTAATAACTGTAGACCTAAGTCTTACAGTTTATTGGCTACATGGTATTTTATTATATGTCTATGTCATAACTTAGCTGACTAACCTCCTATTGTTATGCATTTCCAGTTTTCTTCTATTACGGACAAACAGGTAACAGTCATCTCTATATATAACTTCAATTATTTCCTTATGATACATTTCTAGAAATAGAAAAAAATGGGTCAAAATGACAAACATATTGAACTTAGATATATTTAAATGTGTATATTAATTAGCTTCCTTCATATTATACTTGAACTTCCTGATGGTTACATTGGTTTATATTTCTTATATCAGTGTGTGGATATTCATTTGCTTCTATTCTTATTAATTCTGGGTAAAAATAATTATTGACATTTGTCCATCTGACAGGTAAAAACATATACCCCTATTGCTTAATTTGCATTTCTTGGCTTACTAGTGGGGTTGATCTTTTCAAATAGTTACTGGCTATTTTTAGTTCTTACTGTATTCATTGCCTAATTTTCTAGTAGCATTTCCCTCTGATTAATCAGTTTATTGCTTTGATCCCTTATCTATTATGTGAGTTTAAAATATATTCTCCAGTTTGCCAATTCCCTTTGTGTGTGTGTGTGCACACATGTGTGTGTTGTCTGCCTGTTACACCAATATTTTTAAAATGCATGTAATCAAATCGATCATTCTTTTCCTTCCTATTTTCTGGTATTATTCTCAACTTTCTCAACTCTAATATTATAAAATCACTGAATTTTCTACTTTTTTTCTTATTGCACATTAATCTTTAACTCATCTGGAATTTATTTCATAGAAATGAAGGAAGTTGATATGTAACATTTCCCACTAAATATCTAGCCAATAATTTACACTTTTTTCATTGAATTAAAATGTCACCTTTAATACATACTGATATTTCAAATATATTTAGATATAATTCCTTACTCTTTCTGTTTCACTATGTAATTTTTCCTCCCATTCCCTGATTATTAGTAGCATTGTTGCTTTGGTAAGAACACAGTATAAGATCTACTCTTTTAGCAATTTTAAGTGTTCAATACAGTATTGTTAACTGTGAGTACTACACTACAGAGTAGATCTCCAGAACTTACTCTTGCATAACTAAAAGTTCACACCCTTTAACCATCACCTTTCTAGTTCTGCCTTCCACAAGCCCCTGCCAATTACCATTCTACTCTCTGCTTTTATGAATTTGATTATTTTAGATTCTACATATAAATGAGATCATACAGTATTTGTCTTTTTGTGTCTGATTTATTTCACTTAATATAATATTAAGTGAACATTAAGTTAACATAATCTATTAATGGATTTCCTTCTTTTTATAGCTGAATACTTTTCCAGTATATGCCATATACCATAATGTCCTTATCCATTCATCTGTTGATGGACAATTAGGTTGTTTCTATATCTTGGATATTGTGAATAATGTTGTGATGAACCTGCAAGTGCAGGTATCCCTTTGACATACAGATTTCATATCAAATGGAACTGCTGAATCATATGAGTTCTAGTTTTAATTTTGGAGAGAACTTCCATACTGTTTTCCATAGTGACTGTACTAATTTACATTCCCAATAGCAGTGTAAAAGAGTTCCTTTTCTCCACATCCTTGTCAACTTTTGTTATCTTATATCTTTTTTTTTTTTTTTTGGGAGCTGTGGCATGGTCACTTTTTAATTGCACTGTCACTGCATAGCCATCCTAACAGGTTTGAGGTGGTACCACATTGATGTTTTGATTTACATTCCTGATGATTAGTGTTGTTGAGCACCTTTTCTTGTACCTTTTGGCATTTGCATATCTTCTTTGGAAAAATGTCTATTCATATCCTTTGCCCATTTAAAAATCAGATTTTATTTTTTTGCTTTTAAGTTGTATGAGTTCCTTACATATTTCAGATGTTAACCCCTTATCCAGTATATGGTTTGCAAGTATTTTCTCTCAATCTATATGTCTTTTATTTGGTTATTTTTTTGCTCTGCAAATGCTTTTTAGTTTGATGTAATATCACTTGTTTATTTTTGCTTTCCTTACCTGTACTTTTGGTATCATACCCCAAAAATTATTGCCAAGACCCATGTCAAGGAACTTTTTCTTATGTTTTCTTTCATGGTTTTAGATCTTACATTTAGTTCTTTAATCTATTTTGAGTTGATTTTTCTCTACGGTGTGAGGTTAGGGTCCAATTTCATTCTTTTGCTTGTAGATGTACAGTTTTCTCAGCATCATTTGTTAAAGAGACTGTCATTTTGTTAAAGAGACTGTGTATTCTTGGTACCCTTGTCAAAAATTAGTTGGCCATATATGTATGGGTTTAATTCTGAATTATCTATTTTGTTTCAGCTCTGTTCTTCTTACTCAAGATTGTTTGGCTATTTGGGATATTTTGTGGTTCCATATGAATTTTAGGATTCATTTTATATTTCTATGAAAAATTCTATTGGAATTTTGACAGAGATTGCATTGAATTTGTAGCTAACTTTGGATAATATAGACATTTTAACAATATGGATTTTCTAATTCATGAATATTATCTTTCCATTTATTTGTGTCGAATTTAATTTCTTTCATCAATGTTTTATAGTTTTCAATGTAGAGATATTTCACCTCCTTAGTTAAATCTATGCCTAAGTATTTTATTCATTTTGATAGTATTGCAAATGAAATTGTTTTCTTCTTTTTTTTTTTTGGATAGCTCATTGGTAATATATATTATGCAACTGATTTTTGTATGTTGATTTTATATTCCTCAACTTTACTGAATTCATTTTATTAGTTCCAACAGTATGTGTAGTCTATTATAAAATTTTGTCATCAGCAAACAGAGACAAATTTACTTCTTATTTTCCAATTTAAATACCTTTTATTTCCTTTTCTTGCCTAATTGCTCTGGCTGGGACTATGTTAAATAGCAGTGGTGACAGTGGGCATCCTTGTCTTCTTCCTGATCTTAGAGGAAAAGTTTGCAGCTTTTCACTGTTGAGCATAATGTTAGCTTTGGACTTATCATGTATGGTTTTCATTACCATATGTAATGTAGCACATTCCTTTTATACCTAATTTATTGAGAATCTTTATCATTAAAGAATGCTGAATTTTGTCAAAATTTTTCTGCATCTACTGAGATGATCATATGAGTTTTATCCTTCATTATGTTGAAGCTGTGAGGGCTGTTAGGGTCCCCTGTCATCTACATTAGGTATTTCTCCTAATGCTATCCCTCTCCAATCCCCCACCCCCTGCTATTCTTCCCTTTGTCCCCCATTCCCCAGGCCCCAGTGTGTGATATTCCCCTCCCTGCGTCCACGTGTACTCATTGTTCAACACCCACTTAGGAGTGAGAACATGCGGTGTTTGGTTTTCTGTTCTTGTGTCTTAGATTTTTTTTTAATGGATATACCCACACTACTCCTCTTGTTCCCTCTTACAGGACAAGCCTTAGGATTGTGTATCTTCTCTTGATCCTGCAAAGCCACATTTTGTATTGAAATTCTCCTGTTTATTTTCCCTAGGGCAGGAAATATCAAGGTTGTGGCAGTTCACCCAAGCCAAGTTGAGATGATTGCTAAAATCCACACCTGCTGTTGAGATCCTTATGCTGTCTGTGAGAGCTCATGCAGGCTGTGCACAGGGATGCATAGGATGCTATCTATGGGGAGCTGCATGAGTGCTCAGAAAGTCTGTTGGCTGGTTCAGGAGAGTCCTCGAGTGAGTCGTCCTGGAGGAGTCTTGGGAGGCCTGCTTGGTAGAGTTTATGTGTTGGTTCACAAGGTACGTGACTGGCTGTTGAGAACTGTGACAGCTGTTCTGCACTTTCTCCCCTTCTCCCAGCTCTTAGCTGTCCACAGGCAATTCAGTCATGTTGATCCCCTCAGTGTTCTAGGTGGGGTAGATGGAAGCGGGCCTTCTGGGCAGCATCTTTCAAGGATGGGGAAACTGGGCACTCACTTCATTCTCCCTTTCCCCTGTGGAAGAAGTCATGGGCCAAGGGAGCCTCTCGGTACCAAGCTGTGCCACTCTGGGGGAGGGGTGATGCAGATAAAGTGAAACTGTTCTTATCCTTTTAAATGTGTTTATGCATAGGTTCTTTGCTCCACCAGGGTGCTGGGACCTCAGCTAGATTCTGGAGCTCCCACAAAGTTCTCACCTGTGGGTGGTTGCCAAACCCTGTGATCTGTTGGAGGATGAGAGCTGGAACCTCCTATTCTGCCATCTTGCTAACATCACTATCTCAGGTCTTCTTAAAGCTGTCTTTTCACGTTCTTCTCTGCAAAATCCAAGTTATCACATCAACTGTTCCTCTCATCTTCTGAGCTCTCAAACTCTACAAACTGCTTTCAGCTGCCTGGCTGTTTCTCTTTTTTTCTGGTCTCTCTGATCCTTTCTTCTTTTGGTGATTTCATATATGTTTTAAGTAAGAAATTAATCAGAATCACTCTAATCCCAAGAGAAGAATT